AACTTTTTGGTAAAAACTCAACTAGACGTGTTTGGAGGAGAAAGAATGCTGAGTTGCATCCAAAGAACACCATACCTACTGTGAAACATGGGAAACATCATGCTTTGGGGCTGTTTTTCTGCAAAGGGACCAGGACGAGTGATCCGTGTAAAGGAAAGAATGAATGGGGCCATGTATCGTGAGATTTTGAGTGACAACCTCCTTCCATCAGCAAAGGCATTGAAGATGAAACGTGGCTGGGTCTTTCAGCATGACAATGATCCCAAACACACCGCCCGGGCAACGAAGGAGTGGCTTCGTAAGAAGCATTTCAAGGTCCTGGAGTGGCCTAGCCAGTCTCCAGATCTCAACCCCATAGAAAATCTTTGGAGGGAGTTGAAAGTCCGTGTTGCCCAGCGACAGCCCCAAAACATCACTGCTCTAGAGGAGATCTGCATGGGGGAATGGGCCAAAATATCAGCAACAGTATGTAAAAACCTTGTGAAGACTTAGATAAAACGTTTGACCTCTGTCATTGCCAACAAAGGGTAAATAACAAAGTATTGAGATGAACTTTTGTTATTGACCAAATACTTATTTTCCACCATAATTTGCAAATAAATTCTTTAAAAATCAGACAATGTTATTTTCTGGAATTTTTTTTTTTCTCATTTTGTCTCTCATAGTTGAATTGTACCTAGGATGAAAATTACAGGCCTCTCTCATCTTTTTAAGTGGGAGAACTTGCACAATTGGTGGCTGACTAAATACTTTTTTGCCCCACTGTAAGAGAATGAATTATAAATCCAGAGAACTAATTCATACTGTTTACTGACGGTCTATGTGTATTTTAATCTTCTGATGGTATTTCTCTGCAGGGACTTTGTCTTCGACAGCAGGAACAATCTCCCGACAAGAGGACTGATTGTTCTGCTGTTGTCCAAAGCAGCAGGGCCGAGCCATACAGCCTCCGATCTTCTGGCTCAGGACACGGTCAGCGGCATTCACACTAGGTAATTCAATAATGTAGCCAGAATGATCTCAATATGTAGGCACTTTGCTTGGGAACTGGAGGGTTGTTGGTTCAGGTCCAAGAATGGACCAAACCGGTTACCCAAACCACTTTTGGTTAAATGCAGTTCCCACATTTGAGTTTGTCTTCTCTGTACATGTGAAGCAATAAAAAAGGATCGCAAAATCTTCCATTTCCATCCATTCAATTGACACAATTTTTGGATGCCAGTAACCTCAGTTTTTGGGTCGATTGAGCGTTCATCTCCCGTGAACACAATATCTGAGGGATTTCTTCCTAATCTGGCTCAATTGTCCATTTGGTCTCAAGGATGAACTGATTATATTTTCCTCTTCAAAGGTCTTTTGGACATCACTCAAGTCTTCATACTCTAAGTATTACAATTTCACACAAGTATCTAATAGGGTAAATGATAAAGTTATGACTCTATTGGACAGACATGTGATGCAAGATATAACTTCAGTAATTTGTAGAGGAATTCAACGTGGGGCGATAATTCTAGTTTCCATTGGTTGAGTCAGAAGATGTTAAGGGACCATTTAGGGGCTATCAGTTCTGTTCATCGACTGCTTATTACTACTTAGATCCATATAATGTCCATCAAAGTCCCGACTCTCCACTTTGCTGCTCTTCTGGCTTTGTTTACCGATGTTCCTCAAACTTCCAGACATCTGCTTTCTCCCTGAACTCTACAGCATGTTTGACTTTACAGCTCTGCATGGTGCAAGCATCAACATCAGCAGGATGCGCTGATGAATCTTCCTCCTCTGCAGGAAATTCCCTAAAGCATGCCTAACTGAGAAAATCTAATTGGTTGCCATTGCATAAAATAACCATTGCACAGAAACATTGTGCCCTAGAGGATTTTCCAAAATGTTAAACTGTGTCTAACAACCTTAATCACAGTCATAGAGCCTCTACGGAATTATTTCCACTACCAACTATCGGTTCATGTCTGTAACCCCACACTAGCAGACCGTCCTTCTTGTTTCCGAATATTTTCATTTTCATGTACAGTAGGCACTGATTTAATGGAAAACAGTGTGCAGCAAACATGCATAATATTCAGGGGTGCACACAACTGGTAGGCAGGTACGCATGGGCGGCAACAATCTGAAATGCGTACCGTCACTTGTGTCACAAAGCGCATTTTAACGTCGGTCTGTACAGTGGAATTGCGCCAAAACTACGCCAGCCGGCTGCGGAGGGAGACTCCCCCCCTTCACTGGAGAACTACGCTAAAACAGCTGATCCCAACATTCACGCTCAGTGGTCACGAAATACTCCACTAGCCCCCCCCCCCTTCATCAAATTACTTTGAGTGGAGCCAGAAGTTGGAGTATCAAACACTGACTCCAGGTACTGACTCTGAGTACCTCACTGAGAAAGTTATGTGTACCCCTGATAATATTGCTTTTTGCAGCCATAGATGTGCATGGCAAGCAGACCAAGAAAGGTGATGCCTCTTTTGTCCGTGTTACATGGCTGATGAAGGATAAATAGAGAAATAAAATCCTCTTGTCAGGTAACTCTATCTTGGCCTTTGTGGTTATAGTCCATATCAATACTGTACATTAAGCACTACATTATCTTGCAAATATAATGGATACTGGGAGTAAAATAACCACAGTAACACAGCGAGGCAGTCGTTAAAGGAAAAAACTAACAACATTGCAATCCTGACGCGATAAAGTAGTCCTGGCCACTGCGTGCCAACAAATGGAACTGCGGCAACAGCGACGTTACTTAAAATGATGGCAGCACTGATCGAGATTAGCGGTAAATGTCAGTCTGTTCACATTCTCTTTTTCATGTCTTTAAACTCTGCCAGAGCCAATACCTTGTTCCCAATGGTGTTTACTTCATGTCTGTCTCCTTTAGTTAAGTTCTCTGACGTCTAGCGCTCTGTCTTTTAAACTTCTTTATTTTGCCTTGCTTTTTTTTCTTTTTTTCAAAAAGTATTCCATTGTGTTTTCTGATTGAGAAAACGAATGTTCTTTGTTTGCAGCTGATGTTAAATTGACCGAACTTCTTTCTGCGGATTGATTTGGCTGCACACAGTCCCTTGATCTTCCTTAGCAACAGTCTGTTCTCCTTAGCAGTGGTCTGTTAGTGAGAATGAACGACCTTTGTAATGTCCAAATTGACCAATAAGTATTGAGTATTCAACGATTATTACACAGCTTAAATGAATACTCTATTCTGATTGGTCAATTTCAACATTTTAAGGACTTCTCAGGTCAGATTAAAGTGAGCTTTGGTCAAATATGTGTTTGATCAGAAATCCTCATTGGAATGTTATTTGAATATTCATTTTCTATATGTGAGGGGCAGACTCTGAATCATAGCCATGCTCCAAATTCCCTTTATTGCTCCTTTAAATATATAGTGTCAAATTAGCTATTAGTGTTCTGCTGTGAAAATGCTTCAGGTAGCACCTTAAGATCCTCCCCGCCTTCTCACACACATTGACTCCCGGCATGCAGCTCGGAACAGGGATGTGTGCCAAGTGGTTTCCAGAAGTGACTGCTGTGTTCGGCGTGGCCGTGCGCTGGGTGCCTCAAAGAGCTCCTTTCTCACTGCTGGCTGCCACAAAGCTCACGATGTGTGTAGTGGAGCCGGGTCTCTGCAGAAACATCCTAATATTAGATCAAATTGGGATAGCCCGGACGCCATGGAAGGGTGTGAGGCAGAGCCTTGTTGGCAGGTTGTTTCTCACTACAGGACACACACACACACACACACACACACACACACACACACACACACACACACACACATACCCACACCCCTCATGTCACTACCTGGCACTTGCATCATTGTGACATTGGATCACTAAATCCAACATGCAGCATTCCGTCAGTCATTTGTGATGGATAGCCCCAACCCAAACACACACGCATATATATATACACACACACACACACACACACACACACACACACACACACACACACACACACACACACACACACACACACACACACACACACACACACACACACACACACAGCATGACTTGATCACCTCATTTGCACTGTCTTGCGCTCCCTTTCTCTCCCCCCCACCCATCCGCACCTCTCCTGGGCTCATTAGCACCTCTGATGGAAGAGATGGAGGGATGGAGGGAGTCGGGGTGGGGCGGGTTTTGGGGTGGGGGGTGATTGAAACCTCCGGGGGACGGTCTCCTCCCTCCTGACAGGCAGCATTTGTAAAACATTTCCCACTCTGCTGCCTGACACTGATGATTCACCAAATCACTGCCATGATAGATAGATAGATAGATGGATAGATAGGTAGGTTGATAGATGGATGGATAGATGGATAGATGGATAGGTAGGTAGGTAGGTAGGTAGGTAGGTAGGTAGGTAGGTAGGTAGGTAGGTAGGTAGGTAGGTAGGTAGATATATGTAGATAGAAACACACACACTTCACTAGTATGATAGTCCAACTTGTGCCCACCACACCTCTTTTTTTCTCGTTACAAATGAGAGTGGTGCCACTGAACTCATCTGTTGGCGCGTCTGATGGACAGGCCAGCTCTTTAAATCTCACACAGGGCCGCACTCACATCTGCAAGGCTGCATTTGATGGCGAGGCACACTGCAGAGGGAGGAAAATGGAACAGAACAGTCAGGACAAGGGGCGTGGTAGGGGGCGTTACACCTCGGCAAGATGGCATCGGTTGCTATGCAACTGGGCACCAAAGCTATTTATACACCGGCCCCCTTGTCCCCCTTTTTTCCTCCCCAAGCTCCACTGCTACTGATCAGGATTGCTGTACGGAGGCAAGGCTTTGGGATGTGTGTTTTCACCGGGGTTCATCTGATTTGGGTTTTTGGTCAGCCACTGTTCAATGCTAGGCCTGTCACGATGATTACTTTTTTTGAAAGATATGTTGTCCCAGAAATAATTGCGATAAATCATTTAATTTTAATTTTTAGACTATTTAATGCCAGTGATGTATTAACATTGTTACTAAAAAGTAAATCAAGGTCATGTCTCAATATTTTTAAAACAAAAAGATTTATGTTTCCTCTTACAGTATTCCTGTTAGGGTGGGTGTCTAACACATGTCAATTATAATGGGATGCTAAAAGTGTTTGTTGTAGCCCAAATTCTGATCTCTTTGTTTACCTTTGGGCGTATAAGGCCATTGTGAGGCCACTTCCTGTCTAAGATATAAATTACAAATAAAAATGGCTTGGCCATTCGTACAAAAGAGAATACTTCATCATTATATGGGAACTCTATTGATTTTACACATTATACTTATCAGATCTATGTCTACTAGACGCACTCTCGACTCTCAGACCAAAGTTTTGGCGTCCAAGTTGCATTGTGGGTAAAGTAGGCCCCAGGTTCTGACAAGGAATAGATAAATGAGCAGAATAAGTCATTCTTATAATATCTTTTATCGAATTTAACCGGTGTCAATCATGAGTCCTTCAGTGTTATAGGAGTGTACTGCTAAATCAAAGCTCTATCTTGGTTAGCTCTATCTTTTATTGTAACAAAGTTAAACACCTTTTTTAGATGAAGCTACGAAAATGCTCCCTTTTTAACTTTTCGGACCTGCAGTAAAGTGTTGATCTGAAGCCTAAAGCATTTGCAGATGGCAGGTTGATCACCGATTTATTGTAGTTTTACACTCAATGTAAGTAAAATGCCACAGCAAGGCTGACCTTGCAACATTTAAAATTGTATTTTTATGACCTGAAATCAGCTCTTTATCAGCCTTCTCTTGTTGTAACAATGAACTCTCCTCTTGAAACCCTGTGGAGCGAAGATATCACTCAGAGGCACCTTGTGAACAAGCCACTGTCAATCTGCTAATTTCCTCTTATTTAAAGCCTGAACTTATTAACTCTCATTCGGGGCGACGGTGTTGTTGCTTTGCGTCACCGAGCTGAGAAACCAACCAGACAATGGATGTGATTGAGAGGCGAAACAGATGACATTATTGAATTTTAATCACATCTTCTCCGCGCCGTCGTCGAACACTGCAATTACCTGGCTACAAGACGTGTGTGTGTGTGTGTGTGTGTGTGTGTGTGTGTGTGTGTGTGTGTGTGTGTGTGTGTGTGTGTGTGTGTGTGTGTGTGTGTGTGTGTGTGTCGTAGTAGTAGTAGTTAGTAGT